ATGGTGGTGGAGAGGTATATATGACGTGACATATATGTATTTATTATGATATTTTTGGTATATATATATCTTATGTGGAGTGATAATCTTTTTAGGTTTGAGAAGGTACTCCCATAGGGAGTAGCAATACGATACGATGTTCTAATGCAAACGACACTGATAACAGGGATGCCGACAACGACGATGATGAGGAGTGAGTGAGACTTGTGTTAAGACATATTATGACTTTTGAATTTTACCTATATGTAATATATTTGTGGTTTTATTGCGTAGTGAATGAATATTATTTGAGCATGCGAGATGTATTGTGATGTGATTATATGATGAGTATTGTTCGATATTGTGGATTGACGGATAAAATTGGATGAGTATTCATTTGGAATGTGAATGTATATCATGATTGATTTTATGATATATTGTTAAATATTGTCATTGGATTGATGTCAATACAGCCTATATGTGTATTCTCGTATGGGAGGCTACCAGAAAACTAAAATTTTGTTTGCGTAATAAATACATTGACGACGGATTTTTCCGTCGCCAATGCACATTGGCGACGGGTAAATCCGTCGTCAATGTGCATTGGCGACGAGGAAATTCGTCGCCAATGTTAAACATTGGCGACAGATTTCCCCGTCGCCAATGTTTATGGGCGACGGGAGCCACCCGTCGCCAAAGAAATCCGTCGCCAATAGTCGTCTGTCGCCAATAAGTATTGGCGACAGGGAAATCCGTCGCCAATGCTTATTGGCGACGGATCCATTTCCGTCACCAATATGTATTGGTGACGGATTTTGCGGCATTGGTGACGGATTTCCCCGTCGCCAATGCCATATTTTCTACTAGTGATGTTCGGTGCATAATTAGAGTGGTGGGGCCCATTCACTTTTCTCCTTCAACAATTTCGGCTGACAAAAATTTCACAAAACACCTCAAAACTTTGAGCATGTTCCACAAAACACACCTGAATTTCAATTTCTTTTCCCCTCTATTGTTAAAGATTTGTGTAAATTCCACGAAACCACCCAGAAGAAGAAACAAGTTCTTAAACATCAGTATAAAGCGTCCATTTAACATATGTAAAATGCAGATGTTTCCAGAGAATTATTAACCAGAACATATTCAAGCCTCAAGCGATCGACAAACTACGTACCATGAGCTAACATGTAGCTTTTATTGAACATAAAACAGCACAGACTCAATACAGGCGCCTGCAGAGAGTGACTCCATCGCCGATGGGGACCTGCGAGATCTCGATGCGAGGATCAGCAGCCACGAACTTGTTCAGCTCGACCATGGCGTCCCTGTCGATCTTGAAGTCGGTAGGAAGAAGATCATGTTCCTCCTTCCACCCTGCTACCGCCCCCATCCAGAGAGTGTTGTCGTATGCAATTGCCCCTCCGACCTTAACGAGCTTCAGTAGTCTCTCGTGGTACTTGGTGTAGTTTGTCTTGTCAGCATCCACGAATGCAAAGTCATAGAGATCTTCTTCTTTCATCTGTTACATATATTTGCCAGTTTTTAAGATATAAGCCTAATCAAATTAGACAGTAAAAATCAGTTTAATAAATCCTTGATCATGAATACATTTGAAAAGTACCTGTTATATGAGGAATATGGATATTCTTTGGTACCAGGTATCGACTTCGGTCATTGGTAGTAAGGCGGCTTAGTAATTAAGTGAAGGACTAGTTTCAAGTGAGGACCATTTGGATGAGGAACGGATGAGTAAACGCTCAGTCGGTTTTGACTATTTTTTGTCAAACCAAACCAAACCAAACCAAACCGAATGAAACCGTTTGGTGTGGTAAGGTTTGGTTTGGTGTGGTTAGGTTCGGTGTGGTTCGGCTTAGGCCAGACATCAATTTGGAGCAGTTGAGCTATATTAGGCCAAAAAATAAACATTCCTCCTCCAATTCTTTCGCTCGTCTCATATACTAAGTTAAAAGACCGAACTTATTAAATCGGTTACTTTACAAACTAAAATTTAGAACATTATCAATCAAGTTATATTAAAATATTAGTTTAATAAGTCCTATTCGCCATCAAAGAGTATGAGGTCTAGTGAATTATGTTGAGAGCGATTAGTTCAGTTATTCGATTTGAGAATTTTCAAAGTCGAACTGCCGAACTGACAGAAGTTTTTCTATAACCAAAGAGAACAACCAAAAATTGGCCAGTTTAATCAATGCAATCGGTTCGAACCAATTAATGCTCACTTTTAAGATGAAGGGTTGAAATGTGATCATCTCACTATCAAGGATCAACCTTGTCAGTATCTAAAGATACCCATTTTTCTCTATATATATGTATGGGTTAATGAATATCATGTGATATGAGTAAATTCTCTCATATACAACTATGTAGCTCAATCCTAACTGAGTGGGGTAAGCTGGTATCTTTCTACTCCTTTATTCACTTGTAGAAATAGAGCCACGTCCTTGTTATGTGATGGATTCACCAAATTTTCTCTCTTTAGCAAGGACAACTTTTCATAGTGAAGCTAAACTTTAGAATAAATAAATGGAATCTGCTTCATTCTCCATTATCTCTCCAATTTTTCAACAAATCCACTGTCCTTTATTAAGCACGTACAAATTTAATGCTTAAATGATTACAACCGTAGAAATTTAGACATCATGCTTACCTCATGGAGCAATTTATCAAGAACAGGAAGAGCTTCTGATTCGATGAAATTAATCTTATGTTCAACTCCTGCTTTTTGAATAAAGGGTAATCCTATATCGTAGGATTTTCTATCGAGATCAATCGCTGTTATCTGAAAATAAAAATAAAAAATGTTAGCAAGTTACTATATATAAAAATAATTACTACAAAAGTATAAACTAAAAAAAGAGGTTTAGTGGCCAAACTATAAAATATAAACCATTTCTGGCCCAGTGTTTTTTGCCAAATAGGATTTAACCCCTTAACTAGGTTTTTGTTCCACTAACCATTGTTATTGTAAGTGGAAGTTGGCAAATACAACCCTAGATTTCAGACGGTGTTATATATTTCTCCATTATTTTGAGATATCACGTGAGATTCATGTGACGATAGTTAAGTTATATCATGAATCTGGGAAAACAATTTAGAATGGAAAAGTAATTCATTATCATATGATTCTTAGATGATATTCAACCGGGAAAATAATTTAAGGTTAAGTTAATAAGTGTTAATAAACTTGTTGTGAGGTATAAGTGGCTATTGCAGTTAACCCCTATAAACTTGTTGAGAGGTATAAGCAGATGAAAAGATGGGTTAATTGTCAACAGACACTTTGTACTATCGCCTAATTGTGGATAGACCTTCTGTAGTTTTGTTGTGCATAAAGACTTCCTGAGTGAAATTTCTTGGCTCTTCTACTCTCAAGATGTCTATTTTCCAGAAAACAAATTTCCTTTTCCCTAGGAGTACAAGAGTCAAAAAATTCACTCAAAGGGGTTGCAACAATAGAATTACGAGGGGGTTCTATCGGCAATCGAATGATAGTAAGCGGGGTCTATCAGTAATTAACCGAAAATTAGAAATGAGTAAACTTATTCACCTTTCCATCATTTGGCAAAGCCAAAGCAGTAGTGAGCAGAGAATACCCCGTGAATACCCCAATCTCTATTGTTTTCTTTGCATTCATAAACTTCAATAGCAAAGAAAGGAGAAGGCCCTCTTCAGGAGGCACACTCATGCGAGACCTGCAACTCAATAATATATAGTTGTTTATTTTTTAGAATATACTGAATGCAGCAAAGAAGAAATGAAAGCGTACATGAAACACCAAATTAAAGTTCTTGCCATGGTATTTTCGTGGTCTCCTCCCTCAACCCTTTGAGTTGTTTGTGCTCTCTTGGATATACACTTGTCTCCAATATGTACTAGCAAAAAAGAAGAGAAAGAAGAAATAAATGCATATATTATCGATCATTGTAATTATAATTTATAATTATAATAAGAAGAAAATGAATGAAGAAGACTAACTAACCTCATGAAGAGCATCACTACGGAGGATGTTCTTTGGGAGAGAGATATGATATGGACGCTCCATTGAAGATAAAAGTATTATGAATTAAATTGATGAACCTCTATCCTAGCTACCTTCTCTATTTATACGCTCATTGGCTCTGACATGAACTAGATTACCAAACGACCATTAATTACAAGTTTATAACACAAAATAAGGTTTTTTTTTGTCTATATGCACTCCAAATCTATTTTATTTGCACATTGACCTCCACAATATTTGGATATTTGCTAATCTACCCTTGCATTCTCTCACATTAATTTCTATATCCGTCTCAATTAATACTGTTGAAATTCATAAGGATAATTAGAAAATATGCAGATTTTATAAAGAAATCATGATAAGATAGTTTCTGCGCAATACAAGCAAAAACCCTTATCTTTTGGAAGGTATATTGTTGTCATTTTAACTTTTATCAGCTTGAAGTATAACAATATTAAGTGAGATCAGTGATCCTCGAACTCAATGTAAAAGAATTTAGGGGTAAACTAGCAAATATTAAGGTTGGGAGGTAAATTATTCTACAAGCAATATAGGTTTAAGATCTTCATAAGACTTTGTTATACATGCATTGTGTTTGTAGTAGAACGGCATTAATTAAAAATGTCCAAATATTATTAGATTATTATAACTGAGGAAGTGACCCTTTTACGTTAGAGATCTGGGAAGAGACTATCCAAGTAAAAAATATGTGTATAAACATAAAGTCAAGGATGAGAAGGAACGAAGATATCTTTTCTAAAGGAAAAAAGGAAAGGGAAAAAAAAACCAATGCAGACATTGTCAAGCATGCTACTAGCTAGTTAGGATATTTTCTAGAATGTAGCCTGTGGCATAGTGAGGTCGTTGCGTTTATGTATTCAACACTAACTAGAGAAGCAACTAGGCTGTCAAAATGGGCCAGGTGGGTCTGGCCTGGCACGGGCTTGGCACGGGCCTACCCGGACCCAAGTCCAGCCTGACACGGACCTGCCTGGACCCAGGTCCACTTTAGCCCAATAGAATCGCGGTCCGAGTTTGTAAGGTACTATCTGGGCTAGGCACTACGTAGCCCGGTCATTAAATATTTTTTCTATAGTGAAAATTTTAAAAAAATAATAAATAAAATTTTAAAAAATCAGAAAAAATTCTACCTTATTATTAGTCATTCAAAACTAAAATTTGCAAATTTCATATAATTTTAAACAAAACTATCTTATTATTAACTGCCTAGAATTACAATATTTTTTAAAATATCGCATCATTATATCATGGGTACATCCCAACCAAGTTGGCACCTCTCAGTCTATATCAACATCATTTCTTCCAAAAAATAAAATCATAGATTAAAAATAATAATTTATAGATAATTTTCTATTTTTTATCTAGTATCTCCAAATCTTCAAGTGCTTGAAAAGCGGGCGCCTGTAATTCAATGCCTTGACATCTCTTTTTGGACCTCCACTAATCTTGTAAACACATTACTGTTTGAACTGTATTTGTATCCAGAGACATTCTGTAGTCAATCTTGTAAATACATTATTGTCTGAACTATATTCGCATCCAGAGACATTCTTTAGTCATTAATCAACTATCCTGAAGTGCTAAAAGCCTTTTCGAAGCTGTGGTAGAAACACGCACTATTAGTAATTCATGAGCCATGATGGAAAGCATAGAATATGAAGCGGTCCATGTGCTTCCACCATGACAAAAGATTAAAGTCTATGCCATTTTTCGAACATATAACTAAAGATGCAGATAAATAATGTTCAAGTTCAGAAACTTCCCTTAATGGTAATCCACTACCTCTATTAATCAGCTTGTTTATCATCATATTCCTTGAATTCGAATAAGGGCTCTTACCTTTACTAGATCTCGTAGCATATGTGTTGGCCTTTTTATTTTGATGATGTTTTAATAAACAATTTATAACTAATATTGTTTGTGTAGTGCTTTTGTTTTCTTATTTATTCTAAGCAAACAATGCGTTTGAGGTTGAATGGAATTGCGCTTCAACGATCATATCCAATGGAGGTTGGCGGAATAGTGGAGTGAAGTAATACATTTCAAGTCAAGATCCAAGTTCAAGCTTCATCCGCAAAGTTTACCAAGATGAGCTAAAATTGAAGATCAATATAGCTTGGGTATAGTTTTTATAGTTTAGGAGTTTATACCTTGTGTGTTGATACTTTAAGCTCAATCATGTTACACACACACATCGTTTTTGGTTTTATAGTTTTCACATTTTTATAAATATGAAACATATATACTTGTTTACATATATACACGTTTTATATTTATCGATATTGTTTAGCAATATGTTTTTTCATATATATATAAAACAAATGGATATAGCTATATGTATACATGTATTTGTTTTATATCTATACATGCAAATAAACATGATTTCATTTATGGATTAAAGACGTTTATTTGAAAAATTATATGTTTATGGATTGAATACTTGTTTATACTATTTTTATATCTTGTATAAGTCTATAAATCCATTCAAAATGTTTCAAGAGGTTGTTCAAGTATTTTTGTCAAAATCATGTGTTTTTTAGATTTCGTATTTTAAGTGATTTTGCAAAATGATAAGATTTCACAAATCAGAAGTGCTATTTGAAAACTAGTTTTTGTAACATGTTCTTTTTTGTGTTTACAAGCATTCTCCAAAGTTTTATATTTTTTGGAATTTGTTTGCTATTTTTAATTCAAGTTTAAAATCAGCATTTCTGTTTTAAACTTGTGTATCTGAAATATCCATTCGCGGTCGACCGGATTGGTCGCGACGGTCGACCGCCTGAAGTCCAGAGACTTTGCTCTGTTCTTCAGCCTTTCGCAGTCGATCGACCATGGCGCTGCAGTCAACCACAGAAGTAGTCGTTGCACAGTAACAGCTAGTTTCTGGTTTTGTTGTTTTATAGGTTTTAGGGGTTTTCTTGGGTTGTTTTCTTCTATCCTATATATACCCCAATGCATTTATCATTCCTACCTACCAAGAGAGTTTTAAAAAGAGTTTAAGTGTGTTTAACAATTGTTTAAATTTTGTTTAGTTTGTTTAAAGCTTGGTTTGTGAAGATATTTTCATAAGAGGAAGTGGAGATCAATTCTTGGTGTTTGAGCTTCAATTCATCTATCCCTCGTACTGTTGTCATTTTAGAGAAGTTTTTTTAAACTCAATTTTTAGCTTTGTATTTACATTGTTTATTGATTATCATCTCTATAAGCTAGATTTTCATAATTGAGTTTAAATTTGTTTTGATTATACTCATTGTTCACACACAACCTATTGAGCTTATTGTATTTACATACATAGTATATATTAGGGTTGTGGGATTGTGACCTTGAGAGTGAGCTTAATTGAGTTCTCATCTAGTTTGAGAATAAACATTTGTATTTGTGAGCCTTCATTGTGAGGATACACTTTGTAATACACTTGTACACCAAAAGAAGTGTGTGGTGAGAGACGGGGTCGTCCCAAGAGGAGTCGTCAATAGTAAAGCCTAGGACGAGGTTGTAAATCCGAGCACTTGAGGGAGATATGGGCTAGAGACCAACACTTAGAGGGTGTAGAGTGGGATTGCAAGAGTGTTGATTGTAAAGTTTTCGGTGAGCTAGAAAACCGAGTATGAGATGTAAATGTTATTCGGGTGAGCGTCGAAAACCCGGGTGTGATAGTGGATTTCTCCCTGGGAGTGGGGAGCGGAGACGTAGGTTGGAAGGTTCGAACTCCGTGATCATTTGTTTGTGTTTGAGTTTGTTTTGGCGTTCCATTTGTGCTTAGTGTTTATTACATTCTTGTTGCCATTGTCAATTATATATTGGCCACTATCTTGTTTATATTGCTTTGTGTTTATATCACCCTTAGTTTTATATCCTTGCATATTAAGTGTTGCATATCTAATTTGCTAGGATATTTGTTAATAAGTTTTTAATTGGTATTAAATCAAATTATATTAGCATAAACCATATTCACCCCCCCAGGGTTCTTTCCTAGTGGCATTAGGGTCTAACATATGGATATTGAGATCTAGAATTGGAACCATATCTACCACTATACTCTTCAAATAATTGCTTAAAATAATGAGATTGTGTTATGATAACTAACAGCATAGTCTCATCATTTTGATCTAATATCATATTTTCATATAAAGAATTCATGAGATTTTCAAGACCGGCATTCTTTAAACATGGATCAATAAGAATGACAAAACCATAAATAATAGGAGTGAGTCAAAATTATTTATTAAAGTTGGCTTCCATTTTTCTAATCATCTATGAAAAATGAGCATCCATGCAATAATTATTAGAAAAATATTGAATATTTAAAACTTATAAAGCAACTTGAGTAATCATTGGTTAATAACAATCAGATAATTGAATAGAATCTTCAAAAAAAATTGAAGCATGTTCTTTACATAAGTAATAACTCGCCATTCATGATCAATAATTGTAGCTATAGGTGATTGTGAAGAACTATATGAAGAGCTAGAAAAAATCAGACTAATAAACTCATCTATAATTTCTTTATATTATAGTGCTACATTATTTAAAATTAAATAGGTGGAATTCTACCTATGACCAACATCCATTGGAAATTTTCTACATTTAGCATTACTTCTTTACAAAATTGACCTATGACCAACATCCATTGGAATTTTTCTACATTTAGCATTACTTCTTTACAAAATTGTTTCTATCTTTTGGTTCTTCGTGTAGAACTAGTAACAAAATAACATACATCACTAACTTTTTCTATCATTAGTCTAATTTTCTTAAATGCACTTTGCTCAATTAAGTTCAAAATATGATAAATGCATCTAACATGAAAAGATACACATTAGCATGACAAATAGCAAAGAAGACTGAATGAGATCTATAGTCATATTATCATTGCTAGTATTATCTAGTGAAAGGGTGACAAAATTTTAGAAATTTTTAGTTTCCCATTTCTTCCATTAATAAATTTTTAAGATTTTCCCCAGTATGTGAATCTTCAAATGAAATAAAAGACATGACTATTTTATTCATTTGCCAAGTGTTACCTATCTAGTATGTTATGATATATAAATAACTCAT